CAGGTTTGGTATTTTGTACAAGTTTCTATATATTATCAACTGGCTTCATAAAATAAAGTTGTTTTAGCTAAACTATAATTCTTTATTATTATGAAGGCCATTTAGATAATATTATAGAAATTGTACAAACTAAACAACATGGAGCTGGATTAGATAACTCAAATGAAAAATTAAATGGGTAGTTATAACAGGGCTTTTAACAATAGACTTCAAGATGGAAGATTATGAATATTTCACATTTAGATGTCAATGAGTTCTTAGATGAATGCTTATTCAGTTTTTAAAGATCAGGTAGAACGAGCAGCATTAAGAGATGGTCCATTAAAAGTATACACAGTTTTTGTTGCTATGTATAAGCAAGTTCTACCTGATAAACTACAGTTTTTGATACAAAAACCTTCATTGCTAGTACGAAAGAAATTTTTCCTACAACTCCTTTAGATGTTTTGTATAATGAAAATTTTAAACAAGTAACGCTTCGCCTTTGTAAAGATTTTGAGAAAAAGATTCCAATGGCGACTTGATCAATTCAAAGTTAGATGTAATTTTAATAGATACAATCCCATGAATGGCGTCTCTTTTATAGATTTACCTCAGTTTATTCAACGAAAAAAAAGCTGCATTAATGTTCGGAACAATGATAATGAATGCTTCAAGTGGTCGATACTTCCCGCGCTCTATCCACCTCATAGTAATCCCAATTATATTAAAAATTATATACAATATAAAAATGTTTAAAATTTTAAGGGGGAATTAACTTCCCCGTTTCTGTTTCTAATATTTCAAAATTTGAAAAACAAAACCCTATTTCTATTAATGTATATGGTCTTGAAATTCCTAAAGGAAACAAACGTTCAAAGAATGATGAATTTAATGTAGTTCCACTACATATAACTTCAATCAAAAAAGAAAAGCATGTTAATCTTTTATTAATTCAAGACAATTACAATAATCATGAGGTGGATAAGCAAAAACTAAGTATCATTATGTTTGGATTAGAAATTTATCACGACTTGTTAGCTCTCAGTTATCACAAAAGGAACATAAGAAGTATATTTGGCGATCGCTGTTTTGCATTATTTTCATAGTCAAGATAAACTTTCTACACATTACTTTAACTTGTTCCCTTTTAAATAAAACGAAAATTATTTTTACCACACCCAGAAAAAAATAAACTCGAATTTAAAAATATTTTAAATAAGGAGCGTGCTCCATTTATCATATATGCAGACTGGCGAAAGCTTATTACTTCCTAAAACACATTCTTCATCTGTGGGAGGTAATACAGAAATTATTCAAAACCATAAACTTTTAAGTATTGGATATTATCTTCAAATGTAGTGAACAAAGATGTAACAAATACAAAATCCATCTACAAAGGCATCTCCCATTGATGAAGAAAATGCAGCGAAATGGTTTGCTCGTGAATTGAAACAAGTTGCTGAGAGACTTGAGCCTATATTTAAAACTATCATTCCGATGGAAGTTTTAAGTGATAAGCAAGAGTATTTTTTTCAAATAATTAATGAATGTCACATTTGTAAAAAATTTATTAGTCAGGGAGATACTAAGGTTAGAGACCAGTTATTAACACGCAAAGGAATTTTTCCATATGAGTATTTAGACAATAGATCGAAATTAAACGAGACACAACTACCGCCAAAAGAGAAAATTTTACAGTACCCTTAATGATTCTCATGTAAGTGATGAAGATTATCGTCATGCACAAAGGGTTTGGTCTGCTTTTAATTGTCAATATCTCTACGAGTATGTATATTTGTACATGAAAACTGATATTTTACTACTCGCAGATGTTTTTGAGAATTTCAGAGACCAATGTCTTAAAGCATATGAATTAGATCCAGCTTATTATTATACAACACCTGGACTTAGTTGGGATGCCATGTTAAAATATACAGATGTAAAGTTGGAACTTCTTACAGATATTGATATGGTTATGTTTGTTGAAAGTGGCATTAGAGGGGGATAAGCCAATGTTCAAACAGATATGCTCATGCCAATAATCTGTATATGAAAAATTATAATCAAAACGAAGATTCATCTTACATCGTATATTTGGATGCTAATAACCTTTATGGTTGGGCTATGATTCAAGCACTTCCCTATGGTGGTTTTGAGTGGGTAAAAGACGTAGATAGGTCTTTTAACTTTAATATCGGTAATGATTCAGATTTTGGTTATATATTAGAAGTTGATTTAGAATATCCGCATTATTTACATGAAAGTCATAGTGACTTACCATTTTGTCCAGAACACTCAAAGCCACCTGGATCGAAACAAGAGAAATTGCTCACTACCCTCCTACCAAAACAAAAGTATATTCTCCATTATCGTGCACTTAAACAAGCAATAGAGAGTGGTCTTAAACTTACTCAAATTCATCGAGTTTTAAAATTTGAACAATCTCCATGGTTGAAGGAGTATATCGATTTTAATACCAAGATGCGAACTGATGCCAAAAATGAGTTTGAAAAAAATCTTTTCAAACTCATGAACAATGCAGTTTATGGCAAGACAATGGAGAATGTACGAAAACGAGTTGATGTAAAACTTGTAACAAAATGGGAGGGTAGGTATGGAGCAGAGGCTCTTATTTCAAAACCAAACTTCCACACACGAGCTATTTTCAATGAAAACTTGGTTGCTGTGGAGCTGAACAAAACTGAAGTGCTCATGAACAAACCCATCTATATTGGACTTAGCGTTTTGGATATATCTAAAACATTGATACATTTTTATTTTCATTATAAATATATGAGAAACAAGTATGGTAAAAATTGTAAATTGCTCTACACTGATACTGACAGCCTTATTTATAAAATTAAATGTACAGATATCTACTCTGATATGAAAGCAGATATTTGTAAATTTGATACATCTGACTATCCTGCTGATAATATATATGGAATTCCGCAAGCTAACAAAAAAGTCTTAGGACTCATAAAAGATGAGTGTAATGGACGAATAATAACAGAATTTGTTGGCTTACGAAGTAAAATGTATAGTATTCGTGTAGATGGAGAAGATTTTATGAAAAAAGCAAAAGGTGTCAAGACGGTAGTTGTGAAAAAATCTATTTCTTTCGATGATTACATGTACTGTCTAAAGAACATTAAAATACAAACTAGAGTACAATATTCTATAAGATCAAAACTCCACAATGTATATACACTAAAACAAACAAAGATAGCATTGAGTCCTTATGACGATAAAAGATATTTATTAGAAAACAGTACAGACACTCTTGCTTGGGGACATTATAAAATCAAAAACGATGAAAATGATTGTGATAATAATGATGTTGTGATGTTAGAAGTTTAAATATTTATTGTTTCATATATTCTACGTATTTATATATTAGATGTTATATTGATTTATATTATAGTATTATAGTATTATATATATATTGTAAAAGATTGGATGGGTGAAATATGAAGATTATTAATAAACCAAAAATTTGTTACCAATTTTATGTCTACTTTATTTATTTAATAAAACCTTATACAATTAGCTTACATATTATTCAATATTATATTAACTTAATATTAAATTAAATTTAAATAGTAATACTGATTTTATAACTCACACAAGTAAAAATAAATTCTTAAACCATTTCTAAAAATTTCTAAAAGTTAACTTTAACTTTTCTAAATGTTAACTTTAACTTTTCTAAAAGTTAACTTTAACTTTTCTAAAAGTTAACTTTAACTTTTCTAAAAGTTAACTTTAATTTTTCTAAAAGTTAATAAACTATTACATGTCTGATTTTTTTATCCAACTATTATGTGAATTATCAAAACCTAACCATTTTACAAAGACTTCATCACGACGATTCTTGAGAACTTTTTCTATGAGATATATATCTGAATATTTCACTTTAGAAATTTCTTCTTCATAGAAACCACCTTCGATGGGTTGATCTTGATAATCTTTCAACTTATATGTTACTGGTTTTGTTGATTTAACTTGAGAGATGGTAAATATTTCAGTTGTCCAGTTTGGTGTATATCCTTTTTCAAAAATATGTTTATTCTTGCTTATTCGAACTCTATCACCAACTTTGAATTTTGCTCTTTTAGTTAAAATTTTCCTCTGTTTTGAGATGCGTTTCAATAATTCTTTTTCATCTTGTTTCCTGACATCCTTGGGTTTCATACCAATAGTTCGATGTTTCTGGTTGTTATACTTTGAAATTAGAGATGGTAATATATCTTCCCATTTATAATTTCCTCTTAAATTGAACTGCGGCCACATCATATTTTTAAGTGTTCGGTTAAATCTTGCAATTATTGAAGCCTTTAAATTACTATATGTTGAATACAATTTAATTTTATATGATTTCATTAAATTCTCGAATATTAAATTATAAAATTCTTTGCCTCTATCAGTATGTAAATTTTTTGGTATACGTCCATCTTTGAGTATAGATTTCATAGCAGTAGAAACATCTTTCCCAGATTTACTTTTTACAGGTACTGCCCATGTATACTTGGAAAATATATCTATAACAGTAAGCATATATTTGAATCCTTTGTTAACTTTCGAATATGGTATCATTTCAACCAAATCTGCTTGCCATGTTTCATCCACACCACGCATTTGTACTTTACGACGTGGATAATTTCTTCTAGCTTGTCTATGTAATTCTGTGACAACTGTTAACTTTTTGTCATCCATTTTAAGGTATATATGAATACATCAATACTCAACACAATACTGATTCAAAATTTATATACATACACTTAATATATAATTTTACTTTCACGTAATTCTTCAATAATACTCATAATTTCATTGTTATGACTCGGATTTCCAGCTTGTCGTGATGCTATAAGTAATCGTAACGATCAACAAGTTCATTTGGATCATCCCAGTAGATGTAGTCTGAATATGATTCTTTTTTCACCAACATAGATTGCGGTAATAAATTCTTTTTCTGTAAAGATTCTCCAGTTTTCTGATAAAGCTTTGCAATAACATTTGTATATTTAAAACTGTTGTTTATACGAATAGGTTTATTTGGACTATAATTCCTTCTATGTGCATTAGTAGCTTGTAATATTTCTTTATAGTTGACTAAATCATCTGAACTTATAGTATCTTTATTAGGTTTTTCTCTAAATAAAAGTTCTAGTAATCCATCTGTTTTAGTATATTTTTTCTTTCCACCTAAGTCTATCAGAGGACCATCAAAATTAATTTCTGTATTACCTATCATGAAACCTCTATCTTTAACTTTCCGCACTCCGTAAACCATATCCAAATATTGTTTTCTATTTTTATTCAATAATGTTATGAATTTATTTGTTAATTTGTCGGAATCTTGTTGTTGTTGTATATTATTCTGCTCATAAGACTCTTGAACTGTTAAATTATCATTTAACCTATCGTTTTGCTCATATATAACATCTTGGTACTCTTGATTTGATAAGTTATCAATTATATTTCTACTTTTTATATTTTCTAAATCTTCTACTTCAGATATAGGATCATCAAATGTATAGTTATTATACGCAGGTATATCAAATGGTTCATCGTCACTAACAGCAGTCTTGAATGTTGTTTCAAAGTCTTCTTCTTCTTCTTCTTCTTCTTCCATTTTTATTTTTTTTGATACATTTTCACTCTTGATTAGATTATAATTTCTATTCACCAATTTCTCCAATGGAGTAACTAATGGTTGAAAAGTTTCTTTCAATATATTTTCTGCAGTCTCTCTACCACTTTTAAGTATACGATGTTTCTTGCGTATAGCATCACTTGCTTTTGCTATTTCATGAAGCGTTTCTCGTTCTTTCCGAAACATGTTTATATATTGATGTCTAAAATTATACTAATGAAAGTTGTAAACCAATAGATACTTATAACTGAATAAAGCAATCGAAACCTTTTCTATATCTTCCTTCATTTAAATTTCGGTCTTTGTCTATAACAACAAACCCATATCTATCAGAATTCCAACATGTTGAGCATAAATCACGAAATTGATTGTAAGTCATATCTGTATTTACATGATCGTTATAAACATGCTTAAGGTTTCTCTCATCTTGTTTAAAAAGTACTAGTAAGTTAATATTATCTCTAACAAGATGTTTGGGAATGTGGGCATATGTCTGACATAGATAGAAACTGTCAACGTTGACATGCCTACCCATGCAAAAAAATGCTCTTACATTGTCTTGCTTCTCGCAAGCAATATCATCAAAAATAAATACTGAATTTGGTTTAGCGTCTTTAGGTGAAACCACTTCTTCATGTTCTCTAAATGGAAAGTAACCATCAACTTTACTGAGAACTTTTTCTAAAAATTGATATTTTGGTTGTTGTAAAGACTTTGAATATAAATATATATTTTCAAAGCTTAAACCATTCGGATGTATGATTAAAGACAAAAGAGCATTTGTCTTTCCACAATTTGATGGTCCACAAAAAGCTGCACGAATGCTGTTTGAAAATAAACATCCATGACGTTTTACACCATCATCCTTGTTTGGAAGAAGGTTATCAACATTCACTATTGGGAGTTGAACATCTTGTACATTAAACCGCATCTTGAAATCGACTGAAGGTATAGGTATAAATATAGCGTTTATATAGCTGTATCCAATCAGTTAGTTGTGAACCACAGTCGAGTGAGGAATGATTACTCATGATAAAGTGAAAAAGAATAATAAAAAAATTTCTTGTCATGGTCAAGGTTTTCTCAATACTATAATCAATAAATTACCATTCGAGTTTCATTTCCCGGGTTATCAATATTGTGGACCTGGTACGAAGTTAGCAAAACGTCTTGCACGTGGTGATTCTGGTATAAACCCTTTAGATGCAGCTTGTAAAGATCATGATATAGCTTATTCAAAAGATAAAGACGTGGCTATAAGAAATTCTGCAGATAAAATACTTGCTGAGAAGGCGTGGGAACGGGTTGTTTCTAAAGACGCTAAATTAAGTGAAAAAGCAGTTGCATTAGCTGTAACTAATATAATGAAAGCCAAGTCTAAATTTGGGATGGGGATAAAGTTAATAAGAAATATAAAAAGATTAAGACAAAGAAATCAAAGAAGAAGAAGAAGAAGAGTATGAAGGTTGTTTCTAAAAAACATGTTACTTTAAAGAAGATTGTTAATGCTGCTAAAAAGTCTATGAAATCTAATAACAACTCTTTAGATACAATTAGAACTGCTATGATTGGTGCAAGAAAGGCTATAAAACAGTATGGCGGTAAATCTAAGATTATATCACCTCGAATTCTTCCTATACCCTCAAAAGTTGGGGGTATTTTACCTCTTGTACCAATTTTTGCTGGACTGAGTGCTTTAGGGGCGCTTAGTGGTGGAATTAGCGGTATAGTGAAAGCTGTTAATGAAGCTAATGTTGCTAAGAAAGAACTTTCAGAAGCTCAACGACATAATCATACTATGGAATCCATTGCTTTAGGAAAAGGTCTATACATGAAACCATATCAACGGGGACTTGGCCTTTATATGCAACCTTACAAAGGCAAAGGATTATATAATAAGAAAAAAATATCAAAAAACTAATATTGAAGCTACCTCACCGTGCACTAAGTGATTATGATCTTCTAAAATATTCTAAAAGTTTAAAAATACCATATTTTAGAGGAGTCTTTATGAGAAATGAATTACCCATAGGAGGGCCATTTCAATATGAATCAGCAATAATAAATCTTGATAATAAAGAAGGTCCTGGAACTCCTTGGGTTGCATATAAAAAGGTGAACAATGAAACCGAATACTTTGACAGTTTTGGTAATCTTTCACCACCATTGCATCTCATTGTTTACTTAGGTGTTGGTAGCTATATAAAATATAATCATGAAAGATATCAAAATTTTGATACGTTTATATGCGGTCATTTGTGTCTTAAATTTCTGTGTAATCAACTTACAGTGAAGAATAACTTTAGTCTATATAAGAATGTGTAACCAATTTCAAGCTTCAGTATACAACTAAACACTCAACATGAATGATTCTATCACTCTCACGTTATCAGGGAATTCTTCAACCCTTGAGGCTTCATACTTTCCACCAATTGAACTATCATCTAACAAAAATTATGTTCTTGGTCTTGTTGAACTCCTTACATTTAACTCAATTCCCAACATTGATAAGGGTGCTAATACATTTTATATAGATGGTTTCAATGTAGAAATACCTACAGGTAGTTATGAAATCGAAGATATTAGAAAGCATATTGAACATAGAATAAGACGCACTGGTCTTGTTTTAAAAATAATGGTTGATACAAATACATTACACTGTACAATTGCATCTAATCGTGAAATTGACTTCAGAAAAGAA